AGGCTTAATAGACAAAAATAACCACATTACAAAGTAAAATGCAGTGAACATATAGGAGAGGTACAAAGTTCTAGTTTGGGAGGTAGAGATAATTTCCTGCTTAGGGAGTGGATAGAAGATCAGGGAACACACAAAATGAACAAATGAACACACAAAGTAGAACACTACCACAAACAGAGGTAGTGTCTGATTCAGCCTTAAAGAAGGATGCAACTGGTCAGGGGTAGGTTGGGGACGGGGAACTGTTCTAGATAACGTGCTTAAAAATCATTGTAGACTCTTTGTAATATGTACCCCGGGAGACAGCCACTTTTTTTTTTTCCAAATTTTTATAGATTTTGTTTTTTACATTACCTACATTTTCCACTGTGTTCCTTTCCAACCCACCTCCCAGAACACCCTCTTATTTTTTATTTTTTAATTAATCAATTAATTAATTTTAGTTTTCAACATTCACTTTTATAAGATTTTGAGTTCTAAATTCCAACCCCTCCACTCCTCCTTCCCCAAGACAGCATGCAATCTGATATAGGCCGTATGTGTATGATCATAGTAAATATGTTTCCACATTAGTCATGTTGTGAAAGCAGAATCAGAACAAAAGGAAAAAACCAAGAGAAACAAAGAAAAAAAGAGAGAGAGAAAGAGAGAAAATTGTACACTTCAATCTGCATTCTGACGCCATAGTTCTTTCTCTGGATGTGGATCATGAGTCTTTTGGAATTGTCTTCGATCATTGCACTGCTCAGAAGAGCTAAGTCTAACAAAGTCAGTCATTGCACAATGTTGCTGTTACTGCATACAATGTCCTCCTGGTTCTGTTTACTCCACTCAGCAGCAGTTCACATAAGTGTTTCCAGGTTTTTCTGAACTCCACCTGCTCACCATTTTTATGGAAGAATAGTATTCCATTACATTCGTGTACTACAACTTGTTCAGCCATTCCCCAATTGGTGGACATTCCCTCAATTTCCAATTCTTTGCCACCACAAAAAGAGCTGCTATAAATATTTTTGTACATGTGGGTCCTTTCTCCTTTTTTATGATCTTTTTGGGATACAGACCTAGTAGTGGTATTACTGGATCAAAGGGTATGCACAGTTTTATAGCCCTTTGGGCATAGTTCCAAATTGTTTTCCAGAATGGTTGGATCAGTTCACAATTCCACCAACAATGAACTCGTGTTCCAATTTTCTCACATCTTCTCCAACATGTATCACTTTCCTGTTTTGTCATGTTAGCCAATCTGACAGGTGTGATGTGGTACCTCAGAGTTGTTTTAATTTGTATTTTTCTAATCCATAGTGATTTGGAGCATTTTTTTCACGACTATAGATAGCTTTAATTTCTTCATCTGAAAACTGCCTGTTCATATTCTTTGCCCATTTATCAATTGGGGAATGACTTGTATTCTTATAGATTTGCCTCAGTTCTCTATATATTTTAGAAATGAGGCCTTTATCAGAGACACTGGCTGTAAAAATTGTTTCCCAGCTTTCTGCTTCCCTTCTAAGTTACGTTGCATTGGTTTTGTGCAAAAACTTTTTAATTTAATGTCATCAAAATTATCCATTTTGCATTTCATAATGTTCTCTATCTCGTTTGGTCATAAACTCTTACCTTCTCCATAGATCTAACAGGTAAACTATTCCTTGCTCTCCTAATTTGCTTAGAGTTTCACCCTTTATGTCTAAATAGTGCCCATTTTGACCTTATCTTAGTATATGGTGTAAGATGTTGGTCTATGCCTAGTTTCTGCCATACTGTTTCCCAGTTTTCCCAGCATTTTTTGTCAAATAGTAAGTTCTTATTCTAAAAGCTGGAATCTTTGGGTTTACCAAACAGTAGATTACTATAGTCATTGACTACTGTGTCTTGTGTACTTAACCTATTCCACTAACCACTCTATTTCTTAGCCAGTACCAAGTAGTTTTGATGATTGCTGCATAGTTTTAGATCTGGTACAGCTAGGCCACCTTTTTTTGCATTTCTTTTCATTAATTCTCTTGATATTCTGGACCCTTTGTTCTTCCAGATGAATTTTGTTATCTTTTCTAGCTCTATAAAATCATTTTTTGGTAGTTTGACTGGTATGGCACTGAATAAGTAAATTAATTTAGGTAGAATTTTTTTTTATTATATTAGCTTGGTCTACCCATGAGCAACTGATATTTTTCCAATTATTTAGCTCTGACTTCATTTATGTGGAAAGCATTTTGTAATTGTGTTCACATAGTTCCTGGGTTTGTCTTGGCAGATAGACTCCCAAACAGTTCATGTTGTCTACAGTTACTTTAAATGGAATTTCTCTATTTCTTGCTGCTGGGCTTTTGTTAGTAATACATAGAAATGCCGATGATTTATGTGGGTTTATTTTATATCCTGCAACTTTGCTGAAGTTATTATTTCATGCAGTTTTTTAGCTGATTCCCTAGGATTCTCTAAGTGTACTATCATATCATCTGCAAATAACGGTAAGTTTTGTTTCTTCATTGTGTATTCTAATGGCTTCAATTTCTTTTTCTTCTCTTATAGCTAAATCTAACATTTCTAGTACGACATTGAACAACAATGGTGATAATGGACTTCCTTGTTTCACTCTTGATCTTATTGGAAATGCTTCTAGCTTATCCCCATTACTTATCATGCTTCCTTGATGGTTTCAGATAGATGTAACTTATCATCTTAAGGACAACTCCACTGATTCCTAAGGTCTCCAGTGTTTTTAACAGGAATGGTGTTTTGTCAAAAGATTTTTCTGCATCTATTTAGACAATCATCTGCATCTATTGAGATAATCATATCATATAATCATATTTTTTTTTTAAAAAAAAGGAAGAAAAAGTAAAACTAATCAACATATGAGAAAAGCTGATGTTATATGCAGTGTTCCACACCCATGGTCCCAATTTTTGCAAAGAACGGAAGGAGGAATTTTCTTGTATCTTTCCTTTGGGGCCAAGCTTGGTCATTATAATTTCATAGTACTTAAATATTCTCTCGTTTCATCCTCACAATCACCCTGGGAGGCAGGTGCTATGTAACAGTTGAGGAAACTAAGGCAGAGGCAAGTAACTTGCCCAGAGTCACACAGCCAGGAAGTGTCTGAAGCTGGATTTGCATGAAGGTCTTACTGACTCCAGGTCCAGTCTTCTATCCACTATATTACCTATTATTAGAGAATTAATATTTCTCTACACAATTAATATTCCCCAAATGGTAGGCTTATATTTTGCTTCCAGGTTCTTACTACCCACCAGAAACGCTACTATATTTGGTTGCATATGGGGACCTTCTGTCACTGACCTCCTTGGGGGTATGCGCCCAGCAGTAGAAGCAATGGATGAAAGTGGATGGATATTTGAATCACTCTCCTTAACTCAAAGATGCTTTCCAGAATGACCTGGTAAGTCACAGTTACACTGAAATGCATCAACGTGCCCATCTTTCCACCTCTGGGATTAAACTCTCATCAACAGCGTGGCACAGAATCAGACAGCATAGGAGCACAGATGTAGAGTCTGAAGGGAACAAAGCCATCTCTGCCATCCTCTCATTTTTCTAAGGAGGAACCTGAGAGCTTGAAGGACTTTCTATGGTCACAAAGGTAGTGAGTAGCAGACAGCAGAGGAACAGGACTGGATTAAGTTTCTTCTTGCTCAAAGCATATATATAGAAGTCCTTCCATCTTAGGAGAGCCTTGCCTCAATCTCGAGGGAAGGCCCCAGGTCAGGCCAAGTCAGACTGGAGGATGGGTAGGCTCTTAGTTTTATGCCTCTGTGAAAAGTGGTCATGATTTGGCTAATAAAGCACTGACCCTTTGTAAACCTACGTGGAAGTTCACCTCATTGTGGCATGGAGGCAACAGCCCTGGACTCTCAGAGGCTATGATGATGGAGCTCAGGCTCACACAGATTACATGACTTGAGATGCTCTGACTCTTAAGTCTGGCTAAGCTGGAAAGGCTTCAAGTAGGGAGCCATGGAAGGTGTCATCAGAATGGCATGGCTGGAGTCAGTGGCATGAGTAAGATGGAGTTTTTCATTTGAGGCAACTTAACGAAACAATTCCTAGGGCAGGGTGTCATGGACACCTCCTCAGAATAATATTTTAAGATTAATACTATGCAGAGAATTGCAAAGGAAACAAATTGTATTGAAATACAAATTGTTCATGGACCCAAAGTTAAGAGCTCCTGTGCTAGGGGATGGAAGAGGGCTTATGAACTGCCTCAGGGGAGGTATGCCTGCACTAATGAAGTCATGAATCCCTTAAGTACTCCCAAGTACAGTTAGTTTTCACTTTACATAAATTTGCATTATGTAAATTTGACCTCACATAAAAAATTCTGAAAGAAATCCACATTCCCAAAAAACACTACACCATACCATACTGTGCTTTCTCTTTTTGCTCCTGCCCTTCTGCCTGGGGCTCTGTGGCTTCCCACCCCACTACAAAACAAACAAACAAACAAACAAAAAAAAAACCCCTAAAAAAAAACCTTAAAAAAACAAAGCCCAAGTGAAAACAGAAAAACAGACACTTGGAGAGACCATTACCATTACTAGATCAGGAGCATGGCTTGAGACCTCCAGTGCCAAGAGGAGACCTTTGTCTGTCCTGGCCCCCTCCCTCCCCCACATCTATGGGCCAAATTCACATTATGTAAAAATCACTTTAAGTAGAGGCCTAAGGGATGATCCACTTCTGGACAGTGAGAACTGCCTGTATTTTAAATGAAGAGATGGAGTTTTGCAGTTTTACAATGAGGCCATTGAGAAGAGGGGCTATTCTTAAGCTTCTCTAGTCCATTCCAGTCCCCTTTCTAGACTGTTCTAGGTGACTAGTTATTTGGACACAATTTCTGAGGAGACTGGCCTGCCCTACCCAGAAGATCAGGAGGAACATAAATACCAAAGGAGGTTCATTTAGAGCCACTGTTCTCCCCAGTGAGATACGCTGGACTCTCCCTGAGGCTCTGTGACCCAAGAAAACAAGACTGTGTCAAATTCCACTTTATTGGTATTGTGCAAGGAGGCGATGGGAGTAACACTTGGTGCTTGGAGGGTGGAGGGCCCAGGTCTCACATGCAGCCAGTCATGACCTCCACTTGTTATCCATGTTCCTGCTGGCAGTGGGAGCGTACCACCCCTCCACCAAAGTGACATCCCCACACTTGGGGCACCTTAATGTGAATTTTGTTATGAGGTTCATGATTAGCAGCAAAATAAAAACCAATTTTGACACTCCATAAAAAGACAAATGTAAAAGTGTCTGTAAATCATATTAACTTAAACGTTTAGCAGCACACCCAATAAAATACAGCTCACATACCCAACACTACACTTCTTGACATCACAAGCGCTTCTCTCACCATTATTTACAGTGTAATAGTTTGGGTTGATTGATATATACAGGAAACAAATGTGGAAATAGAGACAGCCCTAGACAGCACTATGTCATAGTGTTTTGACTCCTTTCAAACCATACAGTTTCCCAGGATGCAGAGCATGATAAAATGTTTACATATTCAGCATAAAAATCTCTAGAATGGGTTAACAAAAAAGAGCCAAGCCCCCACCCCAGTGAAAGCCTGAGAAGATGGGAGCTCAGTGTTCCAGGGAGGCCAAAGGCTGGACAAGCCTGCGCTGGAATGGCTAGTCTGTTATCCTGTGAGTTCAAGGGGCAACTCCCGTCCACACAGTATTTCCCACTGTCTGGCGAGCATTGAGATGAGCTTCTCTCGGCTCTCAGCACTTGGGATAAAGATGTACCACTGCACTTCTCTGCCCCCATCACGTCCCCCGGGTTTGGGGGCTCCCTGGGCAGCAACCAGAGTGTCTCCAAAGTGATCCAGGGTCAGGTTCTGCATTAAATCTTGGTTTTGTACATCATCAAACACGAAGGTGAGGGCCTGAGGGTACATCTGGTAGCCCATGAGTACCCGGTCCAGGTCCCGGATCCTCCGGCCATCAGCAAACCGGTACTTATCTTTCTTTGGTGGCTCCTTGGCAAACTCAGGCAGTGGGTAACTGACATGGTCCTCATCAAAAAGGAATAAACCCGAACTGGTCAGAATTAGTGTCTTTGGCTGGAGTGAACTGCTGGCCGAAGCAGTGCCTTCCACAGGATTCACTTGGAATGCCAAAACATAGAGGAGGACATTCAGAGCTGGGCCATCTGCCAAGTGGTCCATCTTCTCGGCCACAATGAAAGCCAAGTCTCCAATCTCCTCCTCATTAGGGTAAATAAATTTTACTCTGCTAGAGTGGATCAGTTCATAGTTGTCCATCTTTCCTGCAAAGACAAATGGCACACTGCAACCCCATGATTCTTGATTGTGGCTTAGCGGAAAGAACATCGAACTTGGGAGTCAGGAGGCCTGGGCTCCTGTCCTAGATCTGATGGGGAGCAAGCCAGCTTCTCTGAACTTCAATTTCCCATCTATAAAACGAACTAACCCGACCCTACTCCACAGGACTGATCAGTAATCATCATTACTAATGACTCCTAAGGCAGAGCGACCCACAGCCCTTGGAATGGCTTAGAGTACCTAAGGCTTTAGTCATTAATTCATTTAATCAGCATTTACTGAACTCCTATCACACAGGGAGCACTGAAAGAGATACAATAGCCGAACCTCTGAAATCTTAGAATATAGCAGAAAATCAAACTTGACAACAGCAGGAGCTCAAGTAACTGTTGGTTAATGGTAATTAAGAACCAGGTTCAAATTCTGCCTCTTACACTTGCTATGTGACCATGGGTAAGTCACTTAACATCTCTGAGTTTCTGAGAAAGTAGATTTTGGGAGGAACATAACTGTTTCGTCCTCTTTCATCTTTGACAGTCTCTTGTGTGTGTGTGAGTGTGTGAGTGAGTGAGTGAGTGAGAGAGAGACAGAGAGAGGCCCATCACCTACTGATGGCATGAGTCACACTCTTGAGTGGATACATAAATTGCAGTTTACCTATTTGCGCTGGTTTATTTGTGTGGTGGCTAACAAGGACCCTGAAAATTCTTGCAACATAAGTTATAGATGGGATACAATCTGCATTGGTGGAGAAAAGTTTCCACAATGACAAAAGTTACAAATTCTTGACATACCAAGATAGCATATATCGAGGAGACCAAAGGCTAGAGAGATGAGGGAGGACTGGAGGAATCAGGGAAAGCTTGTGGCATGTGAGCTGGATGTGAGAAGAGATTCAACATACAGAGGCTGACTGGGAAGTTCTACAGAGCAGGACAACAGCTAACTTCGCAGCTATCAGTCCTAGTTTGCAGATGGGGAAACAGACTCATTGAAATTAAATAACTTCCCCATGGTCACACAGCTTGTAAGAATCAGAGGCAGGATCCAAACTCATGTCTCTGCCAACTCATGTCTGTTCTTCTTTTCCAATATATCATGCATGTGCCAAACGGGGAAGTGAGGAAGATAGCCCACCAAGCTAACTTCCTCAAGGAAAAGAGGAGCTAGGAGTTTTTCTTTACCTGTATTTTTGTTTCCAAATTCAGAGTAGAAATCCTTGTCGACTGGTTCTGGGGAAGGTGTGCGGGCCAGTAAGGAGAGGACGGCCATGAGGTGTTGAAGGAAAGCATGAGTGGAGTAACTGTCTCGAGTCAGACAAGTTACAATGTGATCAGCAGAAGAGCCTAAGGAAAAAAGTCCATGCTACTCGACTTGGAAATGCCCACCCCTATTCCCCTGCCCAAAGGCCCTGAGCTCTTTGCTGCGCAGCATGTTTAGGAGGAGCCTTTGGGGATCAAACAACAGGATGAGATATCCTGCACAAGTCGGATATGAAGCGGCCAGACTGGCAGCAGTTTTGAAGGCAGGAAAGGCTGACACACATTTTTTGGAATGGGTTAGGGAGGCCTAGAAAAAAAGCTGAGCTTTCTCTCTTTAAAATATATTTAGGAAGTGTGAGCCAGAAACATCCTGCATGCTACTGAGAGGGAACTCCGAGGTTCATTCCGTCTGTCTGTTTATTATTCTGTTTACTTGGTTCCTTGCTGACAGGTCGCTGGTGAAATTCTTGACTTTTGACTATGGTCAAAAGGGCAGATTCAGCAACCTCTGTTGTTTCCAAAAGTTCATGGTCATTTCCTCCCTCCCCAGTTACTTGGCTGAGAGTATCCATATGTGCACAAAGAAAAAATGCACATGTAATAATGAGGCTATATATAAGAAACCAGAATTGAATAGACCTATTTGTTTGTTAGAAATAAACACAGAAGAAATGTCACTCACCAGTAACCCGAAAATACTGATCAAAGAGTCCTACGTTAACTGACTGTAGGTCATTGAGCTTTAAAACAAAGCACTGGGACAGATGGAAAGGGCTATTGTCATAATCAGAGTTCCTCTGATTCCAGAAATCTGTGCATAAAAAGAAAAAAAATTACAAAGATTAGTCATTCTTGGAGAAGGAGATAGTAAAGACCTTTTTCAAACTCACCTCCCGATCAGTCTGTGTGCTTTGGATAACAACACACTTCTCTTTCGGAAAAGCCATGTCCAAGAGCAAAGCACATTTTCAGTGCCTTACAAACTGCACAGAAGGGAACACAACCAAGCCCCTAGGAACTGGAATAAAGTCTTTTTGCTAAAAACCAAATGAACTCTTGCTTGATAATGGCTGGTGCACCTTGGAAAATCAGCCCAAGGACAACCAGAGGCAGCAGTCAGTCTACCTCTGTGTTCAGCAGTAGCGCGTATGACCTCCGTCCCAGGAGGCTTTGAGTCCAACTCTAAAAAGCCAGTGCCCCCAAAGAGCAAGGTCGGGATCAAGCACCCAGGCAGAATGAAGGCATCAATTGGTCTAATCTTTCAGAGGAAAAGAAACTTTCATACCAAGTTTTCCAGGTCAGAGCGGCCCAGTCAATGGCTGGAAGTCACCAATCAATCCAAAAACATAATCAACCAAATAGTGCAATAAGTAAAAAGGCTTTTAGACCAAGTGATCAGGGTCAATAATCCAATTTATTCTATAAACATAATATTGCTGCATCATATACTGTTCTAGGCATGTGAAAAGCAAATAAGGTTGGGTTTCAGTTAAAGATCATCATATCTGGAGAGAGCTAGGCTAGGACTTTTCAAGTGTGGAGGGTTAAATGAAATGAAAGAAAAGGGAAATAGGCACCCCGTGGATTCCCAGTATCTCCATCTCTGCAGTGATGACATCTAAATGGCCCCTCATCATTTCTTACCTAGCAAAGGCTCACAATGGTGCCGGATGGAGTCATCCAGCAGAAAGTACACAGCTTTGGTTGTCAGTAACACGCAGGCAGTGACTTCCACATCAGGGGTTTTGTAGAATAAAACTGATGACCACATGAGGTGTCTCAGCTCTTCATTTTCAACCTAAAAAGAAAAAAGTCTTGTGGATCTGCACTCACTGCAGGTGCTCCTAATTTTCCATCTCTTTTCCTGACAGCATTCCACCTCTACCCCTAACCCTCCAGTGCTACTGAGAGGCCTTACCTGAAAATAGAACTAATGGGACACAATTAAGGGAGCCAAGGTTGGTATTCTTATTTAAAAAGATTAGTTATCCCAGTCATATTTTTTCATGTGGATGGTAAATGATGTCCCAAAATAACTTCCTACTAGCCAGCCTCAACTGTCTGAAATTCTACCATTAGAAAGATATTCTTTTAGGTCTTTGGGGGATGGGAATGGGGGAAGGAATCAGGAGGAGGTAAAGTAGTACTTTATAAAAAAAAACAAACATCTCTGAAGGGGCAATATATTAAACTATTATCAATCATCAATACCTTGGCATGGTATTGCCAATTCTTGGCAAGAATGAATCAATTTCTTGGGTGAAAATTTTAGAAGAATGGGGTTCTAGGAAGGGGATGCCAGAGAGGTGTATAGAGTGACAGTACTGGGTGCCTAGAGTGATACCTGAAAGGGCTCTAATGACTGCAAAGAGTAGCTGCAGCTTTGATTAAAAAAAAAAAAAAAAAAAAGACAATGACGACAAAGCTCTTCATCTCAGCCTTTACCAACAACTTCTGAAATGTGACTCAAAGAAAATCATTCAAGTCCTAGCCTGGCCCTAAGCCTTGGAAAACAAGGATAAAAGGCAACCACAACAAAAAGCCAAAGACCAATAACTGGGGCACAATACCTCAGCCACATTGTTATGGAAAAATTCAACGATGGCACTTCCCCTTAATCCAGCGACATACTGAAGAGATGAGGAAACTGGCAGGTAAAAAGGAATGTGGTTGTCTTCAGTCATTTTCTGCATCAGAAATTCACTCGGGTACAGGGAGGACAGAGTCAAATGAGGCTTGGAAAAGCTACAAAGATTCAAAAAAAGTCACATTAGATGAAAGTGAGTACCAAATAATGAAGCATATTCAAAACAGAGGAATTTTTCAGTGGACCAGACCCCAGTTTTCTGTGTAAGAACCCTAGGCCAGCTTCCCACGGAAATCAAGGTTTAAGGATAGATAGTAAGAGTGGGTAAGTGCCTAAAGGGGATTCTATTCACAAAAAGGCAAAGGCCACAACACAATGAAAGTGAATAAAATGAGCCATGGACCATCAGACAAAAATGTTTCCAGCTGACATCCTTAGAGTGGTAAAAACCAACTTTAAAAACATCAGGAATGGGGCAGCTAGGTGGCGCAGTGGATAGAAGTCAGGAGGACCTGAGTTCAAATCCGGCCTCAGAGCAAACACTTGACACTTACTAGCTGTGTGACCCTGCGAAAGTCACTTAACCCCCACTGTCTTAAAAAAAAAAAAATCAGGAATGCAGTGTCAAGGGGTTCTAAGCTAAACTGCACCTCTGACCTCCGAACACTTCAGAGGAATGAAGTGTGAGGACAAAAATCCTTGCTTGTCTGGGCCTCCTCAGGCAGCGGGATCCACAAGACCAGCTGAGAGTCATCAAATGACTCTTCTTTAAGATCCTACGGTCCTCTTCTTTGTAGCTCATTCAGTATCTTTAAAATGCATATTAACTAGCCTCCCGAGGTTCTTATAAAACTTTTAAATCTCAGTTGTTCACTTTTTTTCAATCATGTACCACTCTTTGTAATACCATTTGGGGTTTTCTTGGCAGAGATACTGGGATGGTTTACTATTTCCTACTCCAGCTCATTTTACAGATGAGGAAACTGAAGCAAACAGGGTTATGTGACTTGCCCAGGGTCATTCAGCTAGTATCTGAGGCTGGATTTGTGAACTCAGGAAGATGAGACTTCCTGACTTCAGGCCTGGCACTTTATCCACCGTGCCCCCCAAATCAATCATCTTAGTTTACACCAATTGTTCTCACATTCTTTCCAGTATGTGATGGGCAAAAATAATTTGCAATTAGCAGAGAAAACAAACTGTAGCACATATCCACAGGCTACCAAGTCAATGAAGAAGATAGATCTCCCAACCAAGGAAAATGAGGAAGTATAACGAGTCAACACTCTCTTACAAATTGGTAGAGAAGGGGTACGATACCAAATAGTGAAGCATACAGGGTGATTAAATGGCAAGTGAGGGGGATACAGGCAGTTAAGTGGACAAGAACAAAGAAAATTTCTTGGAAAATGTAGGACTTTACCTTCCCTGAAGGATATATAGGATTTTTTTTTTTGAGAGGCAACTGGGGTTAAGTGACTTGACCATGGTCACACAGCTAGTACAGGTCAAATGTCTGGTGTCTGACTCAGGTCCTCCTGACTCCAAGGTCGGTGCTCTATGTACTATGCCACCTAGCTGCCCCTATGATGTATAGATTTTTTTTTGTTTTTGTTTTTGGTAAGCAATGGGGTCACATAGCTAGTACGGGTAAAGTGTCTGAGTCTTGAGGCCACATCTGAACTCAGGTCCTCCTGGCTCCAGGGCCAGTGCTCTGTCCACTGCGCCACCTAGCTACCCAGGTAATATAGGGTTTTTAAATAGGCTTGTAGGATTTTTATGAGGAAGGAGGAGGAGAAGGAGAAGGCATTTCAGGTGGAAGAATGGATCTGAAAAAGTATAACATTGGGAATTAGTATTTTACATAGATAGCCATGGGAAGCGCAGTAGAAGCTAAGGCTGAGAAGTCAGTTATGACTAGACTAAAAAGTAAACAGGAGTTTGAATGTCAGACTGAAGAAGTTAGACTATATTAAAGGCAACAATCCCTGAAGGTTCTTTTCAAGAAGGGATGTGTACTTCTGGATGACTAATCTGGTCTCTTTATGGAAGATGGACCAGAAAGGGAAGACCAGTGAGGAAGCTGAAGCAATAATCTAGGCAAGAGGAAATGAGAGCTTGGACTCTGGAGCTAGTAACACAAAATGGAAAGAAAAAGATAAATCCCAAAGACAACTTGAAGGAAGAATTAAGAAATCTGGTAACTTGACATGAGGGATGAAGGAAAGGGAGAAGTTAAAAAGGAGTTCAGATTTTAGGCCTAGATGACAACTTAAATGGCAAGACTGAAAGTCAGGAGAAACTGTTGTAATCTAGATTTTACCAACAGCTGTGGGACCCTGGACAAGTCCTTTCTCTACCCTGGGCCTAGATTTTCTAAGACTCCTTTCAACCTGTGTAGCCATCCTCCAACAAAGGCTCCTCCTCCCCCCCAAAAAAATTACTCTAAAAGAGTCCTTAAATAAGACCCTTTCCAGGCTTTCCCAGAGAAAGGGGAGGGGAGGAGGAAAAAGAAAAGAAAGGGACATTTGAGATTATTCCATTGCAGCAATGTACATTCACTTCTCAATTGGCTACATTCCAATGGTATCAATCATGGCAGATGCACGATTCTGTCATAGTCACCAATCATTAGTTCTGAATAGATGCCTACCTCGGGACAGTGTGTCACAGGGAATGATACAGAGTTAGACTGACCTGGGTACAAATAACAGTTACTCTGCTTTCTCTATGATCTCTGTGGACCTCAGTTTCCTTGCCTGTAAGATGAGAGTTGGACTAGATCACCTGAAATTCTGTTCAGATCTTAATTTGAATTATTCTAGACTATAAGCTGCTGGAAAGAAATTACTGGGATTTTTACTTCCTCTATATCCACAGCAGCCAGCCTAGAGCTCTGCATACAGGTGTCTGATAAATGGCTGTTGCTATATCAAGCACAGTCTCTAGATTTAGGCCAAGAAACTCAATACAAGAGGCCGGATTCTGACCAAAGAACACTTTCTCTCCAAGACTTTGCCTACTAGCTTCGGGGAAGGCTTGGTTTGAAACACACTGGTTGCGTAATCCCACCACTTCTCTGTGCTTTCCCATCACCTGACATCTCAGTCATGGATAATTAAAGCTGGAGGAGACTTGAGCCTATGTCCAGCACAAGTCCGGTCACCAGCCTTCTCTTGTTCTTTGAGGGATGGCCAATGACCAGCCCTTCACAGTGGGTACTTTGAAAACCTCATAGCGCCCTGAACACTACTCACATGAGCGTTTTGGTAAAAATGGTCATGGCTTCTATCTTTGTACAAAGGGATCTTTTATGTAAGTTCTAGAGTAACTTGGGCCTTACTATGATTAGCATCATGCTGAGAGTTCAGAACAGAGGCAGAAATCTGAGTGAGATAGAAAGAAAAGGACAATCAGCAAGTTCACAGACTATGAGCTCTGTTTGTACTTCTGTCAATTCAGTTTTGGGGTAATACCTCCTATCTTTAAATTGGCCAATATCACTGAAAGCGATAGAACTCAATGCTAGTAGGGTTTGGGAGAAACAACATACATTTATTGCTGGTGGCGTTGCAAACTTATAGAATCTTTTTGGAGTACAACCTGATAGCACCCACATAAGTATAAGTTATTTAAAAAAACCACACCCTCTGACAAAATAATTCCAGAATAGGAATTATATTCTGAAAATTCTGTCAAGGACAAACAAACAAAAAAGGAGCTAGCTGTTCCAAGATTTTTGTAGCAAGATTATTTTCACAAATAAATAAATTTTAAAAACAAACTGGAAGGAAACTCTTGGAATGAATAAAGGGCAGTTGCAAAATCAATCATGGTACACTCATGTAAAGGAACACAACATGAGGGAGAGTGACAAATCTGAGGAAGAGAGACCAGCAAAAACCATTATTTATAGAATACTTAGCAGTGGGGGGTGGTGGGGGGATGGTGAGAGAAAAGTGTAACTGAAAGAATGAAGCATATGCTACAGACTATCAAGAAAAATACGTAAGAATGAAGAGGCAAAGGAACCTAAGGATGACTTAGAGGGACAGACTGAAAGAATGGCCTGATGAACTGAAATACAAAGTTTTAGTGTTTATATTGATGCTCCCTGTTATATTTCTAATAAAACCTCTTTTAAAAATGATGCTAATTGCTGTGTGACCCTGGGCAAGTCATTTAACCCCGATCCCTCACCAAAAAGGAAAAAAAATGATGCTAATGATATGTGTTGAGCCAGAGTCCTTCGTGTCAAATGAATGACTAAAATTCAAACTAATTTGAGAAAATTCACACACATCTATCATCATTTGCTGGTGAACACTAATAATAAGGGGAAAAATTACAATTTGTGAATTTCTAAACCATACTCTGTCACATACACACACTCCATTTATAACTTAAGCCAGTTTATACACTGGAAAAAGAATGAAACCACTATCTATGGGACCATCTAACAATCACTCTCACAACCCTGGTGGTTGGGGATGAGCTATAAAACTGTACAACAAAGAGTAACACCGATGGGCTTGCAGTGGGTCAAGTAAGGTGTAAATGCTGAACTATGCATCATCTATCGAGTTCTGGAAGTCATTACCTTGCTGCCTGCAGATTATTGGAGTCCAAGAAGTGGTTTCTTGCCATTTCCAAATTTTTGGAAGCTTTGAAGATAACTATAGTCTTCACATCCTGTAGGAAAGTCCTCAAGAGGTTGTAGATTCTCAAAAAATGGAATTTTTCATGAGGTAGGACAAATACTGCAGTGACAAATCTGTATCCAACCAGCAGTTCAAGCACATGGCCATCAGAGAAAGAGCCTTGAGGCTGAGTGGAATGGCGGGTTGGGTGCAACAGAACCGAAGCCAGAGGAATCCGGCTCAGTTTGAAGATCTTTCTGGTGTCACTGGAGTATCTTCCTTTTTCTGGCAAAGCACTGAAATCTGCCTTTACTATGTTCAAGTGTTGAGGTGTTAGAAATACCCAGCAGGGATGAAGTGCAGACTGCCCTGGTTCAGATGACTCGCAAAATGGAGACCGCAGGCCGTGCTGAGCCCATTCTGTCTCTCCCTCAGAGTGGCCCAAGGTCGGCCAAATGTCACTTTTATCACCATAAACAAGATATGCAGGAAAACAACCCTTTATCTCACTGTCATCTGAAGAAATGTGGTAAAATCCCATAAGCTGGTAAATAAATTCCTGCAAGCTTGCCTTGCCACAATATAGCACAGAGCTACCTACCACAGGTGTATGCTGTGGAGAACAGCAGGTGTGTAAACAAGAAAGAAACTCTTGGAGATGTGAGGCATCTGAAATCAGACACAAGCAGTGTCCACCGGTTCTCACCTTTAGCACTAAGCACACTTCTGGCATGAGAAAGCCAAATTCTGTAAGGTCCCCATATGGAAAGCACAACACTAGCTTCAAGGCAGAAAGGATGTGGTGACTGTTTCCTTTGGATGCCTCATGAGGAATCTCGAATACAGCGACTACACTGTCAGTCAGAACTAAACAGGCTGCAAATTGCCGGATTCCTTTGTGAACCTGAATGGAAAAGCTCCAGAGGACTTTGAGTATTTGCAGGTGCTCAGTCGATGGGCCTCCATCAGGGGCAGTGCTCCACTCCAGAGCTGGCTCTCCCTTAGGAAGTCCCATTTCAAAATAGCCACCCTCTGTATCAATGTCTCTGGAGTCACTCCCAGGGCCCCTTCTGCTGGCTGCTTCAGTCCAGGAAAGCGGCTGTCTCTGCACTACCTGCCTTATCACAGCAGAAAGGTGCTGGATGAAATCCTCGTTGGTGGTTGTGTAGGCTATGCAAGTGAATGGCAAAATGATGATGTTACCTGGCTCAGGCAGCACAGCACCTTCATCCTCTGAGTGGCCCAAACTTTAAAAGGAAAAAACTCTCAGTTAAGAGCAGCATATTTGAAAATGGAGACATCCCTGAACAGCTGGGGACCCCAAAAAATCCATGGCCCCAGTTATCTAACAGTTTTTCAAACCATCCCAAACTATCCAAAGCATGTTTCCACGACAACAAAGGAGTCATTCTTCTGAAGTAGTAGGGATGATAGATTAAAGGCCATGACCTTCAATTAAGTTTGCTATCCCCAATGGACACTAGCCAATATAGCTATTACCTTAACCAATCCTACAATGCCTGCCTCCATTCAAGACTTTTTGACATAAGCCTTTAAGGAAATTTATCACAATCTGTTAAGATGTACAGTTCAAAGACGGAAAGATAAAAAGCACTAAAAACTATAAACAAATTTAGCAAGTGAAAACTAGCATTTCAATGACCACTGTTCAAAAGAATGGAGACCTCTAGAAAAAAAAAGAGCTAATGACAGATTAAAAGAACCAACACAAGCTGCCCATCCATTTGGGATCCACTATGGTTCTAGTGTGGCAAACATCCTACACATTGTTTTAGGAAATTCATTTTAAGGATGAAATCTTTAAACAGCATTGCCACAGAGGGGGCACTGGTTTATGGCTTTCTATACTCTGACATGCCACTTTAAGATTGCTGCTAGTCAGATTTCAGCTGGCAAACTTCAGAAAAGGCATAGTCACTTTCAATTGGATTTACTTAAAGGGAAAACTGAAAATTCCCTGGGAATCATACTTTTTATTTGTTAAAAAAACAAACAAATACGACTGGCTGTTGGTGCTTAGGTACCCAGCAGTACCCAATCAAGACCACCCAAACGGAAGCCAGAGTTTATTAGCCACCCCTCACCATGTGGGATTGTCAGTCTCAGAGTTTTTCCTTGAGTCCATTATAGAAGCTGCCTGAAAAGAGAAGGAAGGTGGGTGTCAACAACATACTAAAAGCAATCTCTCTTCAGTCAATTCTGTTATCTTTGGGTCTAAGGCTCCAGCACTGCTCAAGGTTTTCTCTGAATCACTATGACTGCATGCATACATCTGTTATACTCAGTACCCCCATCTTATCTCTCTTTTGTTTGAGACCCTTCAGAGAGCAAGGTCTAGTCTAGAAATCTGGCATAGCTCCAGCCTAAAGTGATCAGAGAAATATCTGGTGACAAAGAAGATACACATACATCCCACAGAACTGCTTTTGATAAATCTTAAGCAAAAGATGAATCACAGAGTAAAGGACATATAAGGAGTATCAACGGCATGGACAGAAAAGAACAGTATTTTGCTACCATCTCTTTTTTTTCCTGAACAGAGGAACCCACATCAGCAGCAAAGCAGAAGTGTAATGTTACACAATAATTATGCCGTGCTATGACTCTAACACTTGAGGCAACACAGCCAGAGATAGAAACACCACTATGTGTCCAACCGTAAGCAGAGATGTCTTGTTTCTGGTCCTGGCAGGCTACACTCTGGAAACATTCTACAAAGGACACTTCTGAGAATATTTTCCCCATGATATGATTCCATTAATGCTAATTTCTAGCTGAGTCAATGGAAACTTCCTCATCTAACATTAACTCTTAAGGATAGAAGTTATAAGTGAGACCCTTATATTAAGACTGAAACACCAACAATTTATTAGTCTTCAAGTACTTACCACAGAAACCTGAATGAGAAAGAATGTCAGACTCAAAGAGACAATGGAAATGGTTAAGAGGTTACCTGGAGATCAGCTGGAAGCTAAGCCAGTTTCTGCTTCCAAAATTATCTCATATTTTAAAAATGATTTCACTTACACAAATAACAAACATCACAAAAGACACAGTTACCTGTCCTTTATGTGTAGACACTGAAGGTTCTGAGTAGCGCTGGGTAAGCAAGTGATCATTAGGAGTCACACTAGCAGGTGGTGAGAAGTTGCTCATTAGGGCTGCTTTTCTATATATTATTTCTAGAGTTAACACAAAAGGTGATTAATTATCATTAGAATAAATTAAAAACCATTATCCAATTATTTATCTAGTAATACAGAGGACATAATTCTAACACCAAAGGAAACATCTGTTAGCAACAGGTCATTAAAACCCATTAGAAGAGATTTTGTACCATTAACAGATCTAATCATTCTCGTGCCCAATCAGCATTGTCTTCATATTTAAGATGAATTTAATGACAAGTTTAATGGTGATATTCTTAAAACAGTGTGCAGAATCCTGGACCAAGTGGACACTGCCTTCCCTGCCCCTGCCCCAATCCCCTTCACTAAATGACAGAGCAGTGCTTATCTGAAAAAAGGACAAGAGTGTATATGACTGTCATAGTCCTCAATGGCTGGAAGAGCTCCAGAGCCACAGAGGGATCCTGCCACTTGGGGTCTGTTTTCTTCACAACATTTTGTACTAGTCTTTCCAGTAGCTGCAGCAGCTTCCTAGTGACATTTACTTTTGATTTATGTATCATGGAAACAGATGGTGTTTTCAAAAACCACAGAGGCTCATTTATAAAAGGAGCACAACCGGAAATTTTATTTTATTCCTGGCATTTTCTAGATTAGCTGAGAGTGAAGTAAAGATACCTAGCATGCTTCTAAGTATAGCAAGTTATAAGAACTTAACAAAAATGGTCAATTTCAATTACCCACAACATTTAAACACCAGAATACTCACGTCTTCTTAGAAAGTGCACCTGGAAAGTAAGGTAACCTCCTTTCAGAGAGCATTTCCCATGAGCTGCCTCCTGATACCTAATACCTGATCTTCACATCCCATATTATCTATTAAAAAATCCTACATTAGTCAAGTTACACATCAAGATAAATCACTTGGAATATGTTATCCTATTAGGGCACATTTTCCTTAACCAAATGAGGGCTGAGCTAGTCATTGATCTTTGTCTATACCTGGTTTTCAAGTTCTGAAACAAAAAAGGTTATAAATATAGAAAAAGAAAAGCCGTAAGCCTCCATTTATAGAAGGCCCCCGTAACATTGCTATTTTTCAGTTCTTTCCACTATTTTGATTATCCACAGAACATGGGAACAGTTCCCTAGAGAATGCATGTCAAAGAGTTACACAAATTTCCACCCTCTCCATGCACAGGCTTAATCAACAATTTGCAGTATTTTAGAAATAATGGCAGGTCCAACCTCCAAAGCCACTATTATGGAGTTCTTTGGCTTCTCATAATGCACTCAATACCAAGAGTTCTCAGGAGCAGGCACAGAAAGATATAATTACATATAGGACATAAAGACATGTACATCAGTGGATTATAATAAACAACTTTTTACAACTACTGTGGGATGTTAAGATCAAACATTAGACACCCCTAGACCCATGGGAAAAGTTTGAAAGTTCTATTATCTAGCTCTACTTAAAAAAAGAAGAAAGAAAAATAACCATTCTGGTGTTAGTATTGTGTTCATTAATTTAAACCAGCAACTCATTTTTGTAAAGTTCTCGAAACTTGCTGTTTTTAGGTGCTATTCATAAATGGAAAAAAAAAATGACTTTTAATGCAGGGTCAGCTAAAACCAGTGATGGGTTGGAACTGTGCCCTGAACACACGCAAATTTAGACACTCATACTTCAGTAAGAAAAAGAGGTCAGCATTTTCTTGGGATTGAAGCACAGTTCAGAGATTGGGTAAAGCAGATAAGGATAACTGACTTTTTGTTATCTATACAAACAACATATTGGGAATGATAACTCATGAAAAAAACTTCAACTGAGAAAACCTTATGAAATTTCTGAGAGCAAGGAAAGTCAATGTATTTTCCCTCTACTATTTAGAGATCACAAAGAGAGTGAGAGATGGTTAGAGCTAACAGTCGACTCTCTGCCAGAGCCGGGACGAGTGTTCCTGACCCCCACGTCCCCAAGCTGGCAAGTTGCCACCCAGTGAGCAATCAGACTTGGCTAACAAGTTCATTCGGTGGAGTTCTTGTTCAACATCTGGTTCTGTTCCATGACAAGCCAAATTCTGACCCATCCACAGACTGATTAACAATGACATAAGGAGAAATAGACTGCTTTCTTTCCTGTTTATAAGAGAGCTTCTCTCTGGAACTAATTTCCCTCATGGTTTTTTCCCACTGGAATCTTCCCACTGTTGTGTTGCTAATCCAGTAGAAATTCTCATGGAATCTACTCAATTTACTCAACTCTAGAATGTATTTCAAGTCTGAGTCATGAAAAATATTTCAAAAACTCCATAGAATGTTCTATGGCACCATAAACTTGACAAGGGCAGCTGGAGAGCTGGCCTCAGATTTGGGACCACATGGGTTTAAGCCCCCCTCCTCCCCATAAACTGGCTGCCTAAGCAACACTGGGCAAGTCACCTAGGGACCCTACTGCAGGCAACACTCTAAAGAGATGAGCTACAGAGGAGGTTATTTCTTTGTAAAGGCAGAAAAAGTTCATTACTGAAACCTCCCTAAAAAGATGAAACCCCAAGTTAAAAAAAAAAAAAAAACAAAACACCTCCACAATTTACAAAGTGCTTTCGCTTGCATCATCTCATTTCATTCTCAGACGGGCCCCTAACTTGGGGTAATCCCATGATTATCCCATTTTTCCAATTCTCAGAAGTGAAATGATTTATCCAGGGTTACATAGTAGGGTCAGCGCTCTTTCTCCATGACACCACATTGTTTTATTGTTGTTGGGTTGGTTTTTTTTTTTCGGTTTAGTGTTTTGTTTTGGTTTTTTTTTTGGCTAGGCAATGGGGTTAAGTGACTTGCCCAAGGTCACACGGCTAGTTAAGTGTCAAGTGCCTGAGGCCGGATTTGACCTCAGGTCCTCCTGATTCCAGGGCCAGCTGCCCCACACCACACTGTTTTAACAAAACTAAAGGATGATCACTAGTTTAGAGGGACAAATGCAGAAGTTTAAAACTGCAATGGAAAGTTTGTCTTTGTCTACAATTATATATATAGTCAGAATTCTCAACCAGGTAAATTAATGAACAAATGATTAGTATTTTGGCTGACTCAATTATTATTACAGATTAATTCTTAGTTCTATAATGCAGAGGTATCAAACCCTCAGCCTGGGCAAAACTCCCCAGTGTGGCCTAAACCAGATTAGTATGTACTTGGAGAAATGTTTAACAAAATCAATACAAATACAATACACCTCAGATAATGTTAATTTGTGGCTTTCTAAGCCAGTGTGTGGCCAGCAGGGATCTCTTTCTATTTGGGTTTGACACCCCAGGAGCAGAGGACAGCTTCAGGTCCCAAAGTGATGTTTCCCGGTGTTTCAGAGATATCTGTAGCTGAGTGATCAGAACTTCTCCATTGAGCAGGCCTCTAGGATCTCAGCTAGAAGGGGGGATTGATTTGAGGACATAAATGCTCTGTATTCTCTCCCATTGTGCTCCTTACTCTCCTGGAAGGGGTTCTGAAATGACTGTGGAATGGCAGGTACTAATGAGGACATTTAGTTCACTTAGGTTTTCTTCATCTTACTGACTCTCATTCCCTTCCATTAGGGCAGAACCTTCACAGACACTAATACACCAGCTTTTGCCTTATCTTGCTAGGGATTATCAACTTTTTGGCCATCTCCTCACCATGCTTCCTACCCACTAACCATCATTCCCCAACCCTACCCCACTCCTCCCAGCAACCTTGAATCCCACCCCCAAGTTACCCAGTTTGGACAGGTGAGTCTCCACCCTACCTTGTAAGAAGCCAGGACTCCACACCACTGCCCAGTCATCTCCACAACACGCTGCTGCTCCCTTTTCATGTGTTTTTCCCCATTAGAATGTAAGCTACCAGAAGGCAGGGACTGTTGTGTCTGCTTATATTTACCTCCTCAGTGCTTAGCACAGTGCCTGGTTATACAGTAAGTGCTTAATAACTGCTTGCCCTATCTATCTATCTATCCATCTCTCCAATACAGCCCTGCTCGTTAGCACGATGCATACATGATTACCTTGGCTGGGGCCGAGAGGCCGAGGCAGAGAGGGAGAAGAGGGACGAACAGGGAGAGGAGAAGAGTTTGCTTTGGAGCTGGCAGCAGTGAGCCGGGAATCCTCACTGATCTAATAAAGAAAGCACGTAGGGGTTAAAGACAAGGAGAAGCCGCCTAGCACCACCAAGAACTGCGCGCACACAGTAACAACCTCAGTGGAGGTATCTTATCCACAATCCATCTTCCCTCTATTCACAGACCAAACAACATTTGTAAGCTAGCTGTGCAGGTCAATTCCAAAGTCTTTTCTCCCATCTGGTAATTTCACGAGGGAAGGAGGGAAAAGAAAGACTGGGAAGAACACACATAAAACAAGCAAACAGAATGGGGAAGGAGGTAACTGCACGAAACGCCCAGCATCTTTCAAGCCCTTTCTGAGCACGTAAAAGGAATGGAACAGACATGAGGAGAGTCATTCATTTCATTTTTTACGAAACTAATTACTTGTCCTTGGCCATGTAAGTAGCACTAAGATACTATAACATACCAGGTCCACATAATATTCTTGGGCCCCCTTCATGCCCACACCACCACCCCTCCAAGAATGCCCCCAAAATAAAACTCACCTTTTTATCAGAATTATTCAGTTTGTACTTAGCTTCCTTTGCTTTCTGAATTGCTTTCAACACCTCTACAGTATCAAGCTCCTTCTCTGTAGTAATGATATTATCCAAACAGACCTAAATGAGATCCATGGGAAAAATAATTTTATGAAAGTCTTCAGGGCTGTCTCATGCATGTACTGTGCTAGTAAGATTTAATAAGTCTTTAATCAACCTCTACAGCATGTTTGGCTCCACAAGGAATACCAAAGAAGACCCTCCCTGGCCCTTTATCTACCAAACTAGATGGTCATACTTTAAACAAGAAAATAAGACAGCACTGACAATAATATCATTAATATATTATTACCACCCACACTTCACTCAAATGTTTCTGCTGATTCTCATGAAATCAACTCTTCCAGATAACCTTGTTTTGACCTAGGTCATGTAGACTCCATCTGGGGGGAGTGGGAGGGCCCAGGTCAGGCCCATGATGGCTCCTCTTGAGGCTTTGATCCTGACTCTCCCCTATCTTCATTGTGACCCCTCCCAGACAGGAGCTGTATCCTCCTTTTGACTTACAATTGTAACTCCAAGGCTTGGTACAGTGAGAGCTTAGACTTCACACACAGACACACGTTTACGATGGGGGGTGGGGAGGGCAGGGAGACCAATTCGGCAAGAGGGGATGGGGGCCCATAAATTACTAAGGAGAGGGAGCAGAATGGAAAGATTAATTCAATCAACATTTATTAGGTACCTGGTGTATACACAACAAAAAATAAATGTTTGGCACTGGGGAAGACACACTTCACACTTCTATAGGACGTATAGACTATAAGTGTCTGTATAAACGCAATGGACAACTGAAATCCAAATAGTGTGTGACATGCAAAGATAACTGGAGTAACCTGGGAAGGCTTCCTAGAAGATGCGGCCCATAACATTGGCTTTCTATAAAGGATTCAATGTGTTACGGTGAGTGAACACATAGAGAAAGGAAGGCAGAGAAAGTTTTAGTTAGAGAAAGTAGGACAAAGGCACCGCAGATGCACGCCACAGCAGTGAACTGGAAACAATTGTAGATGCCCAAGCCCTGGGGCATAGCTACAGTTGGGGCACAGAAATGTAATGGAATGTTTCTGAGTTGTCAGAAATGATGACTACTGGAAGAATGGACAACCACATATGATCTGATGCAAAAGGAAGTGAACACCACCACACAATGCCATGTAATCCTAACAACCCAAGCAGGCCCCACAGAAGAGAGAGGAGAAGGTGACACCCTCTGCTTCTTGGCAGACGTGGAGAATCAGGGCTATGAAATGATGCATACGAAGTCAGATTTTTTTGATATGTCGGTTAGTTTGCTGAACTGTTTTATCCTCTTCCCTCTTTTATTCTTTGTCATAAGAGATTACTCTTGGAAGGGAAAGGAAAGAGAGATACACTGGCAAATGTAGGTGGTGCAGAAACAAAGGGGATCAATAATGATTTTTTTTAAAGGCACAAAGGTGGGAAATAAGGGGTATGTACAGAGAGTGACGAGTAATCCTCATTTGGCAGAGACATGGAAAAGAGTACGAAGATGGCTAAGGATATGTTAGGCTGAGGATAAAGAACTTTATACTCAGCAGACAACAGGTAGACACAGAATGGTTTTCAACAGTGACATGACCACACCCATGCATACACAGATGCATAAAATATTTAGGAAGAAGAATCTAAAAGGTTTGGTGACAAACCTGGAGACAGGATGCCTATAGACACCTATTCCTAAGAGAATGGTGGTGGTATTGATGGAGAGAGGGAAAGATGGAAAGGGACTGGAGTAAAGATAGAAACTGGGTTTTTATGCTGAGTTTGAAATGACAGGATAGCCAAATGAAAATAAGAATATAATCTAAAATTTATGAGCAAAAAGTCATTTGGGATTTTTTTTAAAAGCATAAATGAGCTCATTAAATCATCTTTGCTTATTATCTGTTGTCACACTTTATCATTATTTTAAACATTTATTTTTTCCAGCCCTGTCAACAGTAAGTCATCAATGGAAAAAAGTTTCAAAATTGCCTGTCTCAATTTTGGGTTCTTATCTTGAGGGCTCATATGTAAGCCCCAGAGGTCCCTTTCAGATCTGGTATTGCTGGCAAAAAGCAGGCTGAAGAATGCTTCTCAAAGACACATTTCAACTGTTTTCCTAACACAGCTATCAGCTTAGGCAAGTAGAAGACACCAGAAGAAGATAGCTGACTTCTCAAAACTAAAAGTCAGGCTCCCTCTTTGAACTGGGAAAAGACCATCCAAAAGCCAAAAGGATTTTTTTGATTTCCCAAAGGCAGGAACTGATCATTTCTCATTAGCGCTGTGCTCTCTCTCCTCTCCTGCAATTATCATATTCTATCTTCCCTGTTAGTTGTAAGTTCAGGGACGGCAGGGGCAACATGTTTGAATCCCTATTTCTCCTAGTTCAGAGAACTTGGTATAGATACTCAAAATGGATATTAATTGAAAACATGAACATGTAGCAAAATATGGCCCAGCAACTCCCCTGGGCTCTAAGAATCCAAGAATTTGGAGCAGCTCAACCCCCTACACGACTCAGTGTTTTCCAAGGGTGGCTTACCTCAGAGGCCCTTTCCCCAAACTGAGCTAGTACTTTGGTCCTATAATCAGGGATGATGCTCAGAGGATTGCTGGATAATACCACTTCTTCTAAGCAAGGCAGGCTTCCTATATTTTTTATCTCCTCGATCTGAAAGAGGAAAGTGGTTCCCAAATTTAACACAGCAAATGCCACTTCAGTAGACTTAAAGATAGTTAAATTGTTGTTTCTTTTTTTTAAACAAAAGGCAACCTTTTTAAATTCCCCAACACTACTACCAAATATCACACGAGCATTGCAACTACTTTAAAAGAAGTTATCACCTGTTCAATGTTATTGTTACTGAGATCCAAGTTGACTAGAGAATATAGTTTGTTCAATCCACTCAGACTTTCCAGGAGGTTCCCTGCTAAATTCAGAGTCTTGATGTTCCCTAGTTTGGTATGAACGCCCTCTAATGACGTGAGTTTGTTGTATGACAGATCCAAATGAATGAGATTGTACAGGTGCTACAGGTCATGAGAACAGAACAGAGGAATGAGAGCTACATCAATTCAACATGAGTGAAGGTTACATTAAAATAAAATACAAAATAAAGTCATCTTCATAATTAAGGAAACCACCTATTTAAAAATGCTTGTAAAGTAGTAATCCTTTTGATTGATAGGTACTTAAGTGAATTTTTTTAAAAATGATTTTATTTATTTATTTGGCTAGGCAATAGGATTAAGTGACCTGCCCAGAGTCACACAGCTAGTAAGCGTTACGTGTCTGAGGCCATATTTGAACTCAGGTCTTCCTGAATCCAGGGCCAGTGCTCTATCCATTGCGCCACCTAGCTACCCCTTAAGTGAATATTTTTTTAAAAATCAATGTTTTACATTAATTACAACAGCACTCACATATGTATGTGGCATATCATTTATTCAAACTATAGAAAATATTTATTCAGATGTGTATTCTCCTTTCAATTCCTAGATTCCTAGAAATAAGCAAGTGCCCCCACCCCAGATATCTGTGGCGCAGACTAGGAACCACTGGCCCAGACCAAAGTGGTGCTCTGAGCCAAGAGCTCTGAGTTCTTGCCATGCCAGGGTAAACAATTACTACAGGTATTAAATTAGTTTTATACAGGGCTCCCATAAAGTACTTTCACATTCATCACTTCATTTGATCTTCATCCTTGATCCTTACAACCTAGAGGAAAGAACACTGCAAGCTTTAAAGAACTGTAGTACACCTTAATTATTCTTAGACGCTTGAGAGTTTCAATGCTTAAACTTTGCTTTTTGAAACATAAATTAAAAAGGATCTCCTATAAAAGGAATTATTTCTTCAAAGAAATTACCTGGAGATTTTCTACTACCATCACTCCATTGTGACTCAGATCTAAGAATTCAATCTTTGGAATAAGTTTCTGAGGAAGAAAAAAAAATATCACTAGTAATAATCTCATGATAATTGCTCATATTTGCATAGCAACTTATAGTTTGTAAAGTACTTTCATATAAATTATCTGTTATTAATTTTATCTTTGATACTGCCTATGATCCTTAGGAGTTCAAAGAGAAATAAGACTTCTGTTCGCTTTAATAATTCTTAGGCCTCTGAGGATTTCGACATTACCACAAGAGAACAAACCCTCTGCTTTTCTTCTAACGTATGCACATGGTTGCTACTTCCCCTCATAAAGTGTTGAGGAAGAACGATCCTGTTTATAATTGCTTCTTTACCTTTCCAGCCTGATTAAGCAAAGAGAAGATACAGATGAAGACTGGTCACTTCAAGAATCCAACAGAGTTCTATAAGGATAAGCATGATGACTGAGTTCCAAATCATGCTAATATGTCTCCAGAAGCTACAGGCTTCTCAATTCTAATTCTTCATTACTAAAACTAAACCTGGTTCCAAATCACTGATGCTAGGGATCAACACCCCTATGTAATTAACCTTCATAGTTGGAAACATAGAATGCTGGAACTGGAAAGAACTTCTAAGGATCACTTAATTCAAGACTCATTTACAGATGGGGAAACCAAGGCTCAGATTTAGGGGAAAGAATTTTTTATTATAGATACAATAGGTTCTACAGATCTGAGGTTTATAATCAATTGAATACCAAATGAACTTCCCTCCTCTACCCTCAATCTAATCCTTGGACTCTTAAGGTAGAACTTTACCATATGGGCTATTTCTACAGTGAAAAGCACTGGGCCCTGTACACAGTAGGTATTGATAAAATACTGGTTCTTTTCATGAAAACTACAACTCTAAGTTTCACCTTACATGCAAATTGACATGGTCAACAAAAGATGGGAAGAACCATTTTTAGAAGGGCTGTAGGAAGATAGACATAGTGATTCTCTGTTGATAGAACTAGGAAGAAGTGCCCCCAAATGTTCTGATTTTCAACTTGTAATCATGTCAAATAACTCAACTGTCCACATTCTTTGACCTAGTGGATCCCACTATTGGGCAAATACCCAGGGAGGTCAAAGACAGAAGCAAAGGTCCAGTATATACCAAAGAACTCATAGTTTGCTCTTTGTGCTAGCAATAAAGGTGAAAACAAAGTGCATGTCCATTGATTGGGGAACTGCAGGAGGATCCCCGAAATCTGTATATGAATGTAACGGATGATATTATGCAATAAGAAGTGAAGAATAAGAAATTTAAAGAAAGATGTATATGCAATGATGCAGAGCAAAAAAAAAAAAAGCAGAACCAAGTTAACAATATACATGACTGTAACACTACAAATGAAAAATCACTAAAGAGAAGTTAAACCCTGAGTAAATAAAAAAACCAATGAGGGTCCCAGAGAACAGACAATGAAACATAACTTCCCCTTTATGGTAGAGGTATGGGGGCCTACTAAGACAGCATATTATAAACACTGTCATCTATAGTCACTGTATTGAAAAGGTTCTATCTGCAAGGGTGTGTACAAAATGCTTGAAATGTAAAGGCAAAAGCACAAAAAAAGGATATTTTTTAAAATTAGTTTATTTCATTCTAAAATACATTCTCACTTATACAAACAACACATGAAGTCTTAAGATCTGGTTAGCCTATGTGCTTTATAATTTTGGCAAACCAGAGAAATTCCCAAAGACTCAACCTTTTAAAAATTCATCCATTTATTTAACAAACATTTACTGATTCCCTAACTCTGTGCAACGCCCACTCTTGAGAACTTAAATGGAAATTTCAAAATTCTTACCACAGAATCATCAATTTGTGAGATGCCATTGTGACTCATATCTAGAGTGGTTAATGCTCTCCATGTTGGAATAACTGCAGTTACAGGGCAATCGGGATGCGCACCCTCTGGCTCCCACTCATCAAATTCTGATGCTTCGGGAACAATGATTTCCTGTGTAAAAACAGTTTTATATCTATAAATGTGTATTGAATGCTTTCTTTTAAAAAACTCTTCATTTTGACAATCACTGAAAAGTCTTAAAGACTTCTATTTAAAAAAAGACTTCTATAAATTCTAACTCATAGAACCTCCCAATTAAACAAAGTTTCAAATTATTTGCATCAATGCCATCTTGATAAATTGAGAAGCTTTTAAAAAACTGTGAAGTTTAACAAGTGTGGTATTTTTAAATACATTAGACTGTCCCATCTTGCTTTATTTTGTGTTTCTTTTTCTGTCTCAAATCTCAAATCACTACAAAAAAAATTTTGAACCCCATTGCTATGTATCAACAGCTTCCTCTGGCTCAAATTGACTAAAGTTTACTATATATGTGACTAGTGGCATCAGGACCCTTTAGAGCAGCATGAACTTTTAGCAGCTACAGTGGGTAGATAACATACCTTTCATCAAAAATCCTCTATCACTATTATAGGATAAAAGTTTTGTGTACACATCACCAACCCCCCACTATACTTCAGAAGTCAAACAAAGGCTAATTTGGAGACAAGGTGATAGTATTAGCTTTATTCAGATTCTAAAACCAATAGAACAAAGGAATAAAATCTTTAATGCGCAATAGCAAAGTCACTAAATCTTTTCTAATGCCTACAGAAAACAAAGCAAGACTTCTTTTGTAATGATTTGAGATTTGAGACAGAAAGGAAAAAAGCAAAATAAAGCAAGATGGAACAGTCTAACAGGTGCCCAACTTAGACTCAAAACTTTACAGCTGGAAGGGACCTTGGAAACCAGTCTAATCTTGGAAATCTAATCTAAGGGTTCTTAACCTGAGATCTATAACCTTGGTTGCTTTTTTTTTTAATATTTTGAAAACTCTATTTTAATAACTGGCTTCCTTTTTAATCCTACGTGTATACATTTAAAACTCTGATTTTGAGAAGGGGTCCCTAGGTTTCACCAGACTGCCAAAGGGGTTCATGACACAGAACCTCTGACCTAGTCTAACTCTTCCTTACTATAGATTGCATAACGAGTGAGACTTGCCTAAATCACACAGCTAGACTTGGTTAGAACCTAGGTCTCCTTACAAAGTTTTCTTCTGCCTACTACATAAAGGCAGTCTTTTCAGTACATAACTCCAATGAAAGATTTTTCACACATGCCCCGAATCTGTACAGCACAGACACACTTTTTTTTATACCTGGAGAAAGACTTGTAAATAAGCCAATTCAAAGTTAAAAAAAAAAAATAGAAACCTTTTAAATTCACTTAAAATACTTGTCCTGCTAAGCCAGAACAGAGTCCCCTTAAGAGCCAACATCCTTTGCATTTGTCTAGTATTTGATCCTTTTTCAAGTTTCCCCATCCATGACCTCATTTGTGCCACCTTCAGACTCCCTTAAAACCCGAGAATGAGAAATGAACATTGTAATTTAAGCCTGTATTTAAGCTAATGACAACATTTATAATCCAATTTGCTTAAAGACTATCTCATTATGCTAGAAAAAGTCCTAGTAGTATTTACTTTTAATAATCTGGTTCAAGCTAAAGCTACGTAATTACCAAATACCACCATATTTTTCACTTTTAAAAGAAAAACTACACAATTTCATTAAGTATCTTATTAATACTACTCACTGATTTAAGTTCTAGAGAGAAATAATTTAAGTTAGATAGACCAATATGACCATTATAACCTAGAATTTGGGAGCTAAGGAAGACCTTTAGTAATCAACCAGCTGAAGCTAGTTGTGACTTGCCCAAGATCATATTACTAATTATTAGCAAGACTGGACTAGAATTTGAGTCTTAAAATTCTCAGTGTAGTTCTCTTTCCACTTACACTAAATGTACAGATCAGAGACAGGGAAAGGGCACTTACTTCAATCACCAATAAAAGAGCTGTAAATAACAACTGCTCGATCAGAGACAGGGAAAGGGCACTTACTTCAACCACCAATAAAACAAAGCTGTAAACAACAACTGCCTGGACCATGACCTTAAACTTTCTCATGCAGCACAAGCTGAATTTAACTTTGAATAAACAGACCAGAAATTCCTTTGGTGATTTTTCAGGACAGGAAAGGGCATAAACTTACTTTCATTGAGGTTGCTGAGAAACGGACACTCAATGTGGCTAAGGTGTGTTTGGATGAAATCAGCCCTTTGATATGCTTTGCATCACAGTGACTTATCTGTTTAAAAAGACAACATTATTCATAAGTTCAATTTCCCTTACAATAAACAGTGCTAGGAACTGGAAGGCAGGAAGCCAAATTAAAACCTGAGTCACCCCTGCAGAGACTTTAGCACCAATGAATTTTTTCTAAAACCTCAATGATGTCCTTCCCATTCTCATATTTAATAGTAAGGTAGGGGCACCTGTGTCACAGGGGTTGACAAAGTACCAGCAACCACGAGAAACATGACTTGAGTGCAAAACCCCTTTTAATCATACTAATGACTGAAAGAACACCTGGATTCATGGAGTATGCCCTTGAGTGATGATAGAAGAGGGAAGAGAACTCTGTAGCAGAGCCACACTCTGTTCAAACTTGCCCATCTGAAATTCATAACAACCTTCATTTTGGCAAACCTAGGTCAGACCACCCTGTTTCCACCTAAGTATGAGCTCCTGGCAACACATTCGGGGCTGAAAGAACTATATCTCACAACAGATAAACCATTCTTACAGGTCTCTGAAACAAACTAATTTTTGGTCCTTGGTTAGTCTGTTATTTCTTTGTAAATATAATTTTCTAAACTAGAACATAAAGGAGTTCACACATTTACATAGTTTTTACAAAGGACTTTCTTAGACAAATAAGTATTAAAAACTATGTAATTCAATATTAACATGAAGTACTTCCAATAAGCATCAACTCTCAAACCATAAATGTGAACAATTCAAAATGGTAGACAATCCCTACCCCAACAAAAATTTCACACAAAATAATCAGGATAAGCTGTGAAAACCTGACTTAGGGAAGGCTGAAAGTCCTTCAGCTTTTCTTTAAAAACAAAAACCTTATTTCAATTAACAAGCATTTTTCTCTCCGACCTCCTCCTAATTGAAGAAAAAAAAATCCAAAAGACAAAATACTTGTAATAAGTATGCATAGTTCATCAAAACAGGAATCCCTGTATTAGCTGTATCCTAAAAAATGTATATGTCACTGGGCAAAATGACTCTATCACCTGTCAGGAGATGGGTCCACCATCTGTCCTCAGGAATCATAGCTGTTTGTCCCTTGAGTTTTTCAATCTTCATGCTCAAGGTATAAAAAAAAAAGTTCATAAATCACCTCATAGGCAAAGCACCAGCATGAGCTAAGCGCTTGTCTCCTTTAAACTTGCTGAATTTCAGGTTCACTTTCCCTGTGTTAACTGAGATAAACATTTTGCTTTCAAGAACCTCTCTGCTAGGGTAAAGGGAACAGTAGAAAAAATGCTACATACCTAACAAAATGTATGTGTCACCTGAAAGCAAGAAATACCTTTTGAGTATGGTCTGCTACTTGATGTAAAAAACTAGGATGTGTCAAAGACAATCTAAATAAAAATAATTTCTTCACAATTCTGAGAATCTCATAAACTATATCTACTGAAACCTTACCTCTATCTGATGAAGAGACTTAAATATTGACAAATCAAAAGGCAAGAGATGCTCCTGAATGTTGCTGGTCCCAAAAGGTCCTCCTGTGCCAGATACCTTAGAATTAAGAATTTCATTAGGCATGAAGCTTTATAGGACTCCCCCACAAATGTTCATGTCATCAGTGTTTATGTTAGCTGACAAATGGCATAGAACTGAATCATGCTTTCCCAAACAAAGCTAACACCAGCTTTATTTGAGCTCTGCTGTGAAGTGTTTATTTTGCAATAAAGAACTGGACAGGTCTGTGTGTTTTAATAAAAACGAAATAAACCAATTGAGCTAAGGAAGGCTGGAGAAGGTCAACTGTGAGCTCCAGCTGCCACCTGGTGCTGAGCAGGGGCAGTACACAAGCATCTCAGCACATCCTGTTTTTTTAAAACCCAGTAGAAAGTTTATCAGCTTGGACAAAAAGGAAACATTCAAGGACGCTGAAAAATTCATCTTCCATGGACAATCTCCACCCCACCACAAAAGAATAAGAACAACTTCTTACCTATTTAAATAGTCATAGCATTACCCAACTCCCCTGAAATACATAAACCACTTACAAAAAGGTCACAAGGAGATGGGCCATAAGAGGGGCTTAATTACCTTCAGGTATCTGAGTCTACATGTAAAGTCCAGAATGTGACCCAGGTCAGTCTGCGCATCTCCATTAGCACAGGTGGGTTTCCCTTGCCGAAGCTGCTGAGTGATCGCATATAACTGCAATGGCCTAATAGCAAAAACCTCTCCAGCCACTAAGAGCTGTTCACCTGAAAACCAACAACAAGGATGTTAGTTCACCTGGTTGCTCTGTTCCCTACTGGAAGCTCAGCAAGTTGCTGTCAAAAGATGCCTTCTAAGACAAGCACAGTAAGGCCCAGGAAGTCCTACAATCCATGAAGGAATTCTGTTTTGTTGCTCGTACGCCGCCTGGAAGAGGGCTGTAGGTGGTGCAGTGGATAAAGTGCTGGCCCTGGAGTCAGAAGGACTGGAGTTCAAATCTGGCCTCAGACACTTACTAGCTGTGTGACTCTGAGCAAATCACTTAACCCTGTTTGCCTCAGTTTCCTCACCTGTAAAGTGAGAAAAGGAAATGCAAACCACTCCAGTTTCTCTGCCAAGTAAACCCCAAATGGGGTCATGAATGAGTCAAACAGACTGAAATAAATGAACACCACCACCACCCCCATCAAAGGATACACACATCAACAGCACAAATTAAACCTGGAAGCACACACAAAACTCTGGTAAAGGGAGGACAGATAGTAAAAGGTCCTGGACCTTTGATGTCACTGACAGGGGGATTCCAGGATGAAAAAACTCCTTCTACCCCTATGTAAGCTAGCTCTTTCTCTATACTTTCGTCTTTGATTTTTAATGCCATTTAGCCCATTGTTCTCAGAGAGTTGCCCATGGTCACACAGGCCAGTCTGTGTTGGTCAGGACTTAAACCTGGGTCCTTTTGACTCCAAATCCAGCTCTTCATTCACTATACTATGCTGTCTCTCAAAGAAGGGGTAATAATAGCTCCTAAAAAGTGAAAATTTAAGAATGGTTCTCACAGAAGTTGAGTACAGATAAAACACACAAATTATGTCCAGATATTTTGGGGAAATGATTCGTTTCAGGGAGATCGAATCTCATCAGGGTCCTTATTAGTTGGCATGTATGTCTTTATTCACTAACCACTAATTAATTAGGGGCTGAGCAGGATCTATTTTACAAAAACTTGCTCGTATACTACTGAGGTAAAAGAAAAGTAACCCAGGAGAAAAGAAAAGTGACTAATGCACTATGAGTGCCAATCAAAACATTTTTCAGTCCTTCCTTACCTTTGTGAAAGAGCTCCTCGGCTAGGGCAGCAGTAATGCCATTTATTTCCTGCAAAAAAAAGGGGGGGGAGGCAGTGGTAAGAGGGAGGACTCCATCACATTAAAAACAGACTTAGCTAACCCAGCTTCAAACATTCCCAAACTGGCAGATGAATGAATACTTGCAGACTCCCTCAGTTGTTGAAATTCTGACACTTTAGAAAATTAAGCAAAGTTAAGGCAAACGCTTTAAAGGTATAAATACTTACGAAGGTTAAGACAGATTGTGGTATGTAAACCTGCAAAATTTGCTTAAAAGACAATGAGTAAAAATGTAATCCTCTAAGGGCAAAAATTCAGCAACCACAGCCTTCAAGTAACTCCAGAGGCTACCTTACTCTAAGAAAGCAGGCCCAGGAAGGAAGCTGTTACCTACTATTGCAAAATACAATGCTCATGAAGGTTAGGGGGAGGGGGCTGAGGAACAGAGGCACCAACAGGGTAGATTTTTGTTTGTTTTGTAAGGAAATACGCATATCTCTCCAATAATAACAGCTGGACCCTTTAAAGGTTATACACATTCTCATTTAATCCTCCCTGTAAGATGGGTAATACTGATAGTATTATCCCCATTTTACAGATAAGGAAACTGAGGCTCAGAGAAATTTAACTGACTTGTCCATTGTGACACATTTAGTAATTATCAGAGACTTTTTCCTTCCTTTAAGCCCAGCACTTCATCATACTCAAACTAATGCACTAAGTGGAAAACCACTGCTCCCCACATCTGACCAGAACAAGCCTAAAAAGTTCAAACACTTTCTTGAAGGGTTGGTCTTGTCAGCATTCCTGATATTTATTTTTCCCAATTTGGAAATCATTGTTAATAATGTTTCTAAAGGGGTGGAGAGCAAAAAAATTTTCCTTCCAGAGCTGGGCCTCTTCTATTTATATTGACTTTTGAAATGATGGAGAGGTATAGTAAAAGGAAATGTGTCCAATATAACACACCAGGCTTTGGCCTGCCTAGATCCTTCAACTTTAGAATCATTGGGTTGTCAGGGCTCCTCAGGGGTCATTAATGTCAAATAATTCTGAGACATGGCTGTCAGTCCTATTTACACATATTTCCAAAAAGAGAATGGTTTCTTCATAACTTGTACTTTTTCAATCATCTGGTTTTGTTTTAATATTTCTTGCTGTCTCACAAAATTATTGCCGTTTGATCCATTCTAATTTTCGTGAAGACGATACCTTAGGTAAGTTTCCCACCACCTTTCCCATTCTTTCTCTCATTTCATTTAATATTACTCATTGTATCTTGTTTCACTTCTCCCAGGTGCTCCTGTAGTCCTTGTGGCCAAGCCATTCTTCTAAGGCTCTACTTCAGCTTCAGTTAGAGTTAATTCTTTTCTGCTGGGTTTATCTCTTGAGCTTTTCTCAATCAGCTATTTCTTCATCAGGCCCGGTGCAGTTTTCACTCACAGCTCCAATATCAGCATCTTGACTGAATCATTGTTCCCTCCCATACCTGTGGAAAAGGTGGGCCCCACCTTGCAGGTTCCTGGATACAGTCTCCTAGGGATTCAACTTGGGTTTTGATGGTTCCCTCCACCTTCTCTGGCTTATGGCCCCTTAGAGACCCTGAAAGTTGCTGGCAATGCTCTTGTGCCATCAGGGACTGGATGGAGCTTATTGCTATTTCTATCTGGTTTTCTTCATCACTGTTCCTTCTAGTACATTTTTATAACTTTACTGGGGTGTTTGGAGGGAGATCCTACCCCATGTCACCTTAGTCAGAAATCTGATTTCTGATAACTTGTGGATTTTTGTTAGAACCTTCACTGAATGGAAGCTTACCCTAAGGTTTAATGTATTAAAATCTCTTTCAACAATTAATCAATCCTACTTTCCACAGTAGACGTAGAGCTGCTAGCCATATCATAAGACTTTGGAAGTGAAAAGAACCTTAGACATTATCTAATGTCACTCCTTCATTTTACATATAAAGGGCCCAGAGAGGCCACTGTAATTTGTCAAGGAAGTAAAAAGAACACATGGATTATAGATTTAGAGCTTTAAGGGAGGTCGGCTAGTTTTCTACTTCCAGTTTTACAAATGAGGAAGTTGCAGTTCAACAAACTCAAGTGACTTGCCCAAATCTCCACATGTCGCGGAGCAGATTTGAACCCAGGTCTTCTGATTCCAAGACACTTGGCGCTTTCCCTTGGATCCCCATGATGACTCAAGTTAATGGCAGAGCCATCATCTTCCCTAAAAGAATTGTGCATATGAAGAGAAGCAGAGACAGAAAAGCTTCCAATGAGAAACTGTCAGGACATTTACTACACTAAAAATTCTTTCCAAGATAGTTACTTCTGAACAGTCTCACAACTAGCAAATAGCTGTAGTCCTCAAAAAATGTAGGAGTCAGAAGGGAAATGCAAAGAGGAATCAATAAAATAAACATTCTAGTCACATACTGGGAAGACAGCACTAGGAAAAAAATTTTTTTAAGATAAGAGGGTATTATTTCTGAACAAAGAACTTTTGCTTCTGATAAGACAAAGTGAACTTTAGGAAGAAATAATGAAATGTTCCATTGCCCAGAAAAGCTTATATGACCCTAAAGGTTTTAACGTTTTACTTCAAATAATTCAAGTTTTATATTTAATCTTAGTAATCATAACCAAGATAATACCTTTCCTTTAGTCAAAAAAGCAAGCATGATAGACCCTACTACCTGGGCAAAAGCTTCATCATTTTCTACATTTAGAGCACTATTGTTCAAGAGCAGTTTAGAAACAACAAACCTGGGTGGGTTTTTTGGTTTTGTTTTAAGCTGATTATTTTTACAGGAAATGTTTGCCTGTAAAGATAATTTTTTTTCAGCTCAAAACTTAGATTCTGATGGTGTCTGGAGCTTCAGGTGTGGACATTCCCTTCTTAAGAGCAGTGGCCTGGGTGGCCCTAAAATAACAACATAAACAAAAGTAACAATAGCTAGCACTGACACACATAGTTAACTGTAAAGTTTGCAAAATGATTTACATATATTATCTAATTTGATTCTTACAATAGCTCTGTGAAATAGGTGCTATCTTTATGCCCATTTTATAGATAAGGAAAACTGAGGCTGAGTGCAATTAAATGACTTGCCCAGGGTAACACAACATTTTTAAAAGGCAAGACTCCTGAGGCCAAGCCCCCTAACCACCACACCATGCTTGTCTCTCAATACATTCATGATTTAGATGTGTGGCAAGTTATTCCATCAGCAAGAGATCAAATTTTGTAGACTTCCAGCAGTTTAAAAAAAAAAAAGACTTCAATTTTTTTATTGGGAGAACATACATTAACAGGTACAAAGTTCTCATTTACTCATCACTTAAACCTGTATTAATCAACCATCAGCCATACCAGAAAAATTCATCCCAACTCGTATCTCCAGTCTTCTTACCACCATCCTCTCCAATCCCACCCCACCCATGTCCCACTTCACCTCCAATCACTCCCCTTCAGCAACACTCTAGGCTTTTTAAAACTTTCAGTCACTCAGCAACCCCTGCTCTGAAGTTCACGGCATCCAAATTTTCCAACCAACTCAGATTATACTGGCAGCCATGTTCTAATACCCAGGCCATCCTCCCTGGATTTCTCCCAGAGTTCAGCATCTGGCTCAAGGATTTCCACATCCACACTGACCCTCCCTCCAGCTCTCTAACCTCGCAGACCCTCAGTCTCCTTACATTCCAAGCACTCTTTTACTCCCCCTTGGCCCCACACAGGGACCCCATGGATTGATCACACTCACAACATTTTACTTCCCTAAGTAAAAATGGACATTCCTTTACCTGACCTCCTTCACCCCTCTTAACACTCAAGATTTGCCCTCCTGGACACCTCCACCCTCAGCACTTTCATGACCTCTGCTTAGACTTACCTCTGTTCTCTCCAATCTTGACTCCAGAGTCAGAGATCACCTTTCTAACTGTGCTCTACTCTCAAATCCCTTTCGCCCTCACTCCATCATCCCTCATGCTTTGCCAAGTCTCAGTCTCAACTACTCCCACCATTCACCTCTGCTCATCGAAATCACGTGCCGCTGAACAATGGCACAAGTTATACAATTATAATGATCAGGAACAAAGATCATATCATCCACCTTCAAGTGGGCCTTCACTGCAGCAAGAAAATCCTCGTATTCTTCCCTGATTCCCTGTCTCACTCCCCACAAACTTTTCCAAACCTGTTCTCTCAAGTTTCTCATTCCTTCCACCTCCTGGTGAGCCGAGGGCTTTGCCTCTTCATTTATGGAGAAAATTGGTGTGATTTGATTGAGGATTTTCTTTTCCCCTCTCATCTCAAAATCTCGACATTACCCTCCCACCGTCTCCTTACCAAGGCCAACTCCTCTACATGTACCCTTGATCTCATCCCTCCTTTCTTTTCAGCAGATGACAATCTCAAGCACCCCTTCTCTCTATAATCTTCAATTTCTCCCTATTACCTTCAACCTTGTTCAAGTCTCTTCCATTGTTTAAAAACAAAACCACCACCAAAAAAACCCCTACACTAGACCCTACTATCTGCTCGAACTATTGGTCTCTATTTTGCTTAGCAAAATTTCAAGGAATCTATGCTTGCTGCCCCCCCCCCACCCCCGGCTTCTGACTTATCACTTGACTCAAACTGCTTTCTCCAAAGTTACCAATGACCTCTTAATTGACAAATATTTTCTCAGTTCTCATACTTTTGATACTGTTAATCACCCTCCTCCTGCTGCATACTCTCTCTGTTCTTCAAATTTTCATCTCACCACTCCCCTTTTTATCCATGACTGCTCATTCTCAATATACTGGCTTTTCATTCCTATCATGCTCCCCAAATAGGGGTGTTTTCTTTTCTCTCTACACAACTTCATCAAATCTCATGGTTTTCCCCACTAAATTAGAGATTTATTACTTGAGTATGACATACAATCAGGTGAATACACAGAATAGGAGGAATGAGGGCATTCCAAACATTGTTTCTGCCCTGATATTTTAGAACCAGAAGGCAAAATAGAAA